GTTTGTGCCATAAACCCATCTTAAATGATGCTAAGTTAGAGAATTTTCCCCATGTGACACACTCCTAGCATGGGATCATTACTGAAGAGGAGGCTGAAATTTTTTACAGCCAACATATGGTGGATGATGACAAACTTTTCTGGACACTGCAGAATAGTCGAACATTTGACACCACAGTGGTTGTGATAACATCTACAAGCCCCCATGCAAGCTCAATGGAGAACAAATCCAGTATGGTGATGGGAGATGGGCAAAGAGCCCCACCCATAGATGAAGAGCTATTGGCATGTGATATCTACTGGGAGGAGAATCAGTTTCTTTAATGGTGTGGCCCTGGGTATTATGACCAAGAATATGGAAGGCACAAATAGAGCTGCATGGAAGAAAATAGACAGGTATGTAAGGAAAGTCAGTGGATTTTCAACAACTAGAAGGTCACAGAAGGAATCAAAAGGAAAAATCAGTCAGGGCAGCGGTGGTGCACGCCTTTAATCCCTATACTTGGGTGATCTCTGAGTTCGAGGCCAGCCTGGTCTACAGAGCATGATCTAGGACAGGCACCAATGCTACACAGAGAAACCCTGTCTCAAAAAAAACAAAAAAAAAAGGAAGAAAGAAAAACAGGTCAGTGAAAAGAAACCAGCCAGGGAGGGTGAGGGAGAACAAAGGGGTGGGAAGGTGGATTCCATCAAAACACAATACATCCCGACATCGCTGGCAACCTGATGAGCTTGGCTTCGCCCTCGTGGGCACGTGACCAGCTGATTGGACATTTTTAAACAATTAAGATCTTAAGACCTTGGCCAGGTTTGGTGGCCCAGACCTTTAATCCACACACTTGGAAACAGAAGCAGGAGGATTTATTTCTGTTAGTTCCAACCCAGCCTGGCCTACATAACCAGTTCCAGGACTGCCAGAGCTCCACAGAGAGAGCCTTTTCAAAATCAACAACAAAAATAATTAAGTGCATAAGAATAAGAAAATGATAGCAAATGAAAAAAATTAAAGTAAGATCAGAAATTTACCATTACAGGATAAAGTGAGTGTAGCTCAGGAGTCGAGTATGTTCTTAGAATACTGGAAGCCCTACCATCAATCCCTGGCACCAAAAGGAAAAGGAAATAAGATATTTTTACTGAGCTCTCTTTATCTTGAATTAGGTCACCAAACAGACACAAATATGCTGATATTTGGAAAAGCCCTGAAGTGTAAGACCATCACCCTCAAGGCTTAGCCTGGTGACTTCATAAAGAATGTCAAGGCTGATATCTAAGACAAGGAAGGCATCCCACCTGACCAGCAGCAGCTGGTGCTAGCTGCTAGCAGATAGAACACAGCTGCACCCTGGCCAGCAGCGAGGTCCAGAAAGAGTCCCACTCTCCACCTGGTGCTCTGCCTGTGTGGTGGCCTCATAGAGCCATCCCTTTGCCAATTTCTCCAGAAAGACAACTGTGAAAAAGCCATGTACTGCTGCCCACAAGTGCTGCCCACACCTGCACCCCTGTGTGGTCAAATTCCTCAAGAAGAAGGGTAGCCATACCAACAACCTGTGCCCCAAGAAAGTCAAATAACGCTGGACCTTGTTTGGCCCATGACTCCTGGGACACAATGAATATTTTTTGCCTGAAGGAGAAAGACTAAGGAAAGTGATGATGCTAAGTTTGGGCTAGTGACATGGACCAGTGTATGAGTGCTGCTGCCAACCTTCAGCCCTGACACTGACCCACATCATGCAAAGAGAACTCTGTCTTCTGTAGGTGTCCTCTGACCTCCATGCATGTGCTGTGATACATGCGAATATACACACATGAGGGAAAAGTAAGTGTAACTCATTATTATTATTAAATAAGTGTAATTTAAAGAAATAAGTGTAAATAAACAGATGTAATTTAAAGTTGTATTGGAAAGTACACACAGCAAAAAAGAACAAACAACCGGAAATAGTGGTACACATTGTAACCCAGCACTTGAGACTATGAGGAAGAGGATTATGAATTTTTTTCCATGCAGATGTCTACAGCAAGACCCTTCACACAAACCTTTGAACATTTCAAATACTAAAAAGTATTTCACATTAAAAAATAAAATAAAGAAACCCCACATGTAAATTTGTTTTCGACATGTGTAATATTCATACATGTATTTTTCATGTGTAATATTTATACAGTTCCATCCAGAAGGAACTGACAAAGATGAGGACAGAATGAGACAGACTCTGATGGAACTGGGGAAATGTCATCCTCAAAGAATTGATTGCAGAGTCTACAACCTGACCTATCCACAGCCTTGGGGAAGTCAGAGCCTGGCGCCTGAGGAGGGCACTTCCCCTTCCTGTGGGACTGCTCCAGTACAACCATGTCATGGGGAGTGTCCTGCCTCCAGAGACCACACCATGTGTCTCATGTCTCTCCAGACAGTCTCTGTAGCTCTGCCCATGAGCACAGTTGCAGCCTCCAGGAGGAGATGCCATGACCTTCATCTTCACGGCCCTGCTCTTTCTGGGTGAGATGTGCACAGGGGGAGGGGATACTGTGGTCTAGGATTGATGCTGCTCCACAGCCCAGCACTGTCCCATCAGGAAAATGCAGGGTCTCAGGAGGTTCTGCAGAGGGGAGGACCTGCTCAAGCTTCAGGGACAAACCTCTCACAGGGAACTCTCTTCCAGGACTGACTCTGGGCCTGGGGACCCTTGTGCTGGCAGGTGAGTGTCTACAGATGTCCTGACCTTCACTTCTCATCATTCCTGCAGCCATGCCTGGGCAGTGAGGATGGAGAATAACACATGTGTGCTGACCATGGGGATGGCTGGAGGGTTGGGGTTGGGGCCTGCAATTGGAGGATGGCTGTCCTTGGTCATAGCTGCTCATTTTTTTTCAGGGGCCCTCCCTAAGCCTATCCTCAGAGTACAACCAGACTCTGTAGTCTCTCAGCATACTACCGTAATCTTCTTGTGTGAGGGGACCACAGGAGCCAAAGAGTACTATCTGTATAAAGATGGACACCAATATTTAAGGTGCACAGAGATTCCACAGAGTCCTAGGAACAAGGCTGAATTCTCAATCTCAAAAATAGACCAGGACCATGCAGGGCGATATAGCTGTCAATATCAGACTGGTGATGGATCGTCAGAGTACAGTGACTCCCTGGATCTGGTGGTGACAGGTGAGAGGACACATAGGGTCCACAGACTCAGGCTTGACTGTCAAGAAGAGGGTCTGTTCACAAGAATGTCCCCCGGGGTCATATCATGGAAGATAATGAGACCTTGAGAACATTTAACTGATTCCTCCTTCTCTCCTAGGAGTCTACAGTAAACCCAGCCTGTCAGCCCAGCCCAGCCCTGTGGTGACTGAAGGAGGGACTGTCACCCTCCAGTGTGTCTCATGGCAGAGATATCACAGGTTCATTCTGATTAAGGAAGGAGCTCAGAAGCTCTCCTGGATACTGGACTCAGACTATGACTACTACTATCCTTATCAGTTCCAGGCCCTGTTCTCTGTGGGCCCTGTGACCTCCAGCCAAAGGTGGACATTCAGATGCTACAGCTTTAATAAGAACAGCCCACAGGTGTGGTCAGAACCTAGTGACACCCTGGAGCTCCTGGTCTCAGGTGAGGAACTCTAGTCTTTCCCTAGAATGATGTTGAAATGATACAAGTGCTCAGGGAGGCCTTGGTGTGTGGTGTGTGTGAGGATCCAGGGCTCCTGAGGCCATGACACAGAGCATGGTAGAGAGTGGGACACAAGATACAGAATCCAAGGCAGAGAGTAACAGCAAAGCCCCAGATGTCCAGGACAGAGATGAATCCTTATGGGGCCTTCTGTTACTCTGGATCAGCTCATGTACCATCCACAACAGCTCAGGGAACCCCATAGAAGAGAGGGAGGAAGGGTTGCAGGAGGCAGAGTACTCAGGACATCAGGAGAACATGGACCACACAATTAACTAAGCAGGGATAATAAGGACTCACAGAGACTAAAACAGCAAGCACAGACCCTGCATGGGTCTGTCCTAGGCCCTCTGCACACATGCTGTGGTTGTTTACCTTGGGTTCTTTCTTGTTTTGTTTTGTTTTGTTTTGTTTTGTTTTGTTTTGTTTTGTTTTGTTTTTTAGAGTTTCACTGTGTAGCTCTGGCTGTGCTGGAATTCACTTGTAGACCAGGCCAGCCTTGAACTCACAGAGATCTGTGGCATCTTCCTATGGAGTTTTGGGGTTAAAGACCTGCACCACCTTGCCTGGCTAGCTCTGGGTTTTTGTTAGACCCATAACAATGGAAGTGGGTAACTCTCTGACTCTTTTGCCTGAACATGGGATATTTTTCCTCCTCCTGGGTTCCCTTGTTCAGTCTCAAATGAGGGTGTGTGACTAGTCTTATTGCATGTTTGTCATGCCATGTTCAGATAATATCACTGGGAAACCTGATCTTTTCTGAAGGGAAACAGAGTAGTGGATCTAGGGGAGAAAGGAGGTGGGAGGCTGCTGTCAGAATACATTGTATGAATTCATTTAAAAGAAAAAAAGTGCCATCTGCAAGTGTGACTTTATCTGTGCCACTTTCAGACAGACCCACCTTCTTCTATTCAATTTTCTTCCAGGAACCCTCCACAAACCCACCATCAAGGCTGAGCCAGGCTCTGTGGTTTCTCTCAGAAGTGTTGTGACCATCAGGTGTCAGGGGAGCCTGGATGCAGAAATATGTGTTCTGCATAAAGAGGGAAGCCAAAATCCCTTGGATACACAGACACCAGAGAAGCCTGAGAACAAGGCCAAGTTCTCCATCCCTTCTGTGACAAAGCAACATGGGGGACAATATCGCTGTTACTGTTACAGCTCAGCTGGCTGGTCAGAGCACAGTGACACCCTGGAGATTGTGGTGACAGGTGAGGGTCTCAGGACCAGGCTCTGTTCTCAGGAGTATTCCCCTCCTACAGCCTAGCCCTGGATAGCATTCTGCATGTGTGAGCCCATGAAACAGTCTGACTCCTTCTCTCCTAGGAATCTACTACCATAATAAACCCAGCCTGTCAGTCCTGCCCAGCCCTGTGGTGACTTTAGGAAGGAATATGACCTTCCTGTGTCTCTTATGGGAGGGATATGAGAAGTTCATTCTCACCAAGGATGACCAGAAGTTTCTCAGCTCCCCGACCTCACAGTTTATACCCAATATTAGGCAGTGGCAAGCCTTGTTCTCTGTAGATCATGTAACACCAGACCACAGAGGCACATTCAGATGTTATGGTTACTACAATCATACTCCACACTGGTGGTCAGTGCCCAGTGAACCCCTGGAAATACACATCTCAGGTGAGTCAGCCCCATCATTGACAAAACCTCTCCCACTGGGTAGTTGCAAGTACAGAGTGGTTGAGCCAAGGCCCCACTCTGGGGAGAAGCAGTGACATGTGCAGGGCAGGATGGGAGGGGATCAGTGTTTGGTAAAAACCAGCTCCTCAATCACTAGCCTGTCACCTTCCCTCTAGGTCTGTCCAAGAAGCCGTCCTTGCTGACCCACCAAGGCCATATCCTGGATCCTGGGAAGAGCCTCACCCTGCAGTGTTGCTCTGACATCAACTATGACAGATTTGCTCTGTACAAGTTCGGGGGTGTTGACTTCAACCAGCATGATTTCCAGTGGACCCAGGCTGGCCTCTCCATGGCCAACTTCACACTGGGCCCTGTGAGCAGCTCTACCGGAGGCCAATATAGATGCTATGGTGCACACAACCTCTCCTCTGCGTGGTCAGCCTCCAGTGACCCCCTGGACATCCTCATCACAGGTGGGGACCTAAACAGATTCCCCCAGGTACTTAACCTCTGCATGGGCTCTCATGGGGGAGATAAGATGGAGATTGCTGGGATGAGGGACAGGGACCTTATTAAGAAAGAGTTGTAGAGGCAGGAAAACAGGAAAGGGGCTAAGTCAGAGAAAAGAGACAGATTTCCAGGTGCTCAGTGCAGACCCAGGTGAGGTGTCAGCTCAGAACAATGAAGGCAGCCTCTCATCATCTCTCTTCTTTTCAGGACATCTTCTTTTCAGTCCTTCCCTCTCGGTGAAGCCTAACTCCACAGTACACTCTGGAGACAATGTGATCCTGCTGTGTCACTCACCATTCAAAGTGGACACTTTCATTCTGTCCAAGGAGGGAGCAGCCCACCAACCCCAGAGACTAAAATCAAAGTCTGAAGCTTGGGACTTCCAGGCAGAATTCTTCATGAGTGCTGTGACCTCTGAACTCTCGGGCACCTACAGGTGTTATGGTTCCCAAGACTCATCTCCCTACCTGCTGACACAAGGCAGTGTCCCTGTGGAGCTCATGGTCTCAGGTGAGATGACCCTGAACTCTCAGAGTGACTTACAATCCAAACCCTAGGAGAGCCCTTGACTTAGGTGGGATTAAGGGGACAATAGGAAGGTTAGTCAGAAGGCACTTTCCCTGACAGAGAAGTGGATGCCAGCAGTGGTCTTTCTAGTAATGTCCACTCCATCCTCTACTACAGTCTAGTTTGGGTAGACAGCATGAGAATTATAGGGAGTTTACAGGGCAGATGTAGAAGGGCGTGGAGAGGCAGGTCCCTGGTTAACATCCAAACCTCACCCTCCTACTCTTCTTTTCCTGGGACCCATTAGAGCCTCAAGCCCACCACCCTCAAGACCTATGCCAACAGCTGGTGAGTATCAGGCACCTCAGTGCAGGGAGTATGCTCCATCCCCAGGCTGCCTCACAGCTCGTAGTCCAAAAAAGTCCTCATGTCTCAGTCACTTCAGCTTGTGAGTGTGGAAGTAAACAGAGATCCCAACAGAGACCCAAGAAGCCCAGGGTTTAGTTTGTGACATCCAGAGAGAGATTTTTAGGCTCAGTATGGAGGACTGGACAGCTGGGTAAGGTGGAGAACAAGAAACCCAGACACTCACCTCCGCATCCTGCCACTAAGGTCTTGAGAACACACTCCTCAGCTCTATGGAGTCAGGCAGCAGAAAACTATGTAAAGACTCTGTTGTCATGTGGATCCTGATGGACAACAGCTAATTATGGACTTTATACAGATGCTATGCAAATGCTGACTTGGACAAATCCTTCTGTTTCTGGACTGCTGATAATCTTCATAAAAAAATGGAGAGGGTGGCCCATACCTTTAAGTTTCCTTCAGTGGTGACCTTGGCTGTGACTTCTGACAGAAGCAGGATCCAGAACTTGATTCTGTGGCAAATCAGTCTCACAATGGCAGGGACATGTGCAAGGGTGAGGCACAGGGCCATGGCACAGAATTCAGGTTTCCTCTGTCTACATCATGGGGCATGGATCTAGTATTCTCTGTGAGTTCTGTGACCTCCACTCTCAGAGGCATCTACAGGTGCTATAGAGACCTCAATTAAACACTTTATCTATTGTCATGTGTCATTGCCCTTGTGGACAGCTCTTGGTCCTAGGTGAAGTATTCCAATCATTCTGAGCTGAAGGGGTTTCTCAACATTCTCCATCTACAATAATTATTGGTTTGGCCGGCCGTTGGTGGCACTCACCATTAATCTCAGCAATTGGGTGGCAGAGTCAGGCAGATCTCTGTGAGTCTGAGGCAAGCCTGGTCTACAAAACAAGACCCAGGACAGGTACCTACACAGATAAACCCTGCCTCAAAAAATTATTGTTTGGATTGGGTTATAACTGCTGCAGGGGATCATTCAGTTGGATATTCACCATTATGATGCTGGAGGACAACATGGATATTTCTAGGAATGCTCACTCTCTTTCTTGCTAGTGGAATCCAGAAGGTTTCAGTTAGTCTGAAAGAACACCTTGGGGAGGCCTTGGACAGATTTAAGACACTAAGCAAAAGCTTGTTCCCAGTGACAACCTCTGCTCATCTCCATTTACCAGTATTCACAGACTCTTTCCCTCAGTTTACCCATAGGCCACTTTGTCTCCAGGGGATGAGGAAGCCTTGTGGCAGTAATTACAAAGCCTGCTGGACTCTCCTTCTGTTGAAAGCAGACCCACATCTATTGTTGAACCATACAAGATATAATTCATCATAATGATTGATTATGAAGTCTGCAGCCTTTCTCTTCAGGGTGAAATAGAGGAACTGAGAATGTATGGGTTCAGCCTTCTTTTGTGAGGTGACAGATAAGAATGTCTTTTGCCAATCCTTGGTGTGCTCATCTGAACAAGATGAGGTTTAGGGAAAGGACCTCCAGGTATGATCAACCACTGACGCATAAGTCTCCTACACTGATTGGAGACATGAACCACTCTCTCCTCACGCTATACTCTGTCTCTTTGTCTCAATAACTATTATGTGTAAGATGACTAAAATAACAGCTAGATATGTCAGTCTTGGGATCTATGGTTAGTGTGAGGTTTCCAAGTTATTGGGGAAACCATTAGGTAAAACCCCAATGTCTTACTATATACTGCCTTTCCTGGTACACATAAACACACACACACACACACACACACACACACACACACACACACCTATGCACACATAAATACACACACAGAGTCACTTCACACCTTCGTTTGAGAGCCAGGACTGCAGAACACTCTGCATGACTCTGCCCCACACATTGATCCTGCATTTCTCACATGGTATGTGAGAGAAAAGAGATGTAGGACAATCTACATCAGTAGGATGTGATCTTGCCTGAACCAGACAGTGAGAAATGTCTTGGTCTGATGTGGCAAAGAACATGTGGGAAAGATTAGCAATAGTAGACAGGTTCTCAACATTGGCAGAAACTATATCTCAACTCTGATTCTATATGGTAATTTCTCCTCAAGAAACCCTATGTGGTCCCTGGATACTCAGAAGGGATCAGGGGAATGCTCAGATCACAGGAGAGATAGAGGTGTCTGAGTATGACAAAGGAACAAACATTCAGCAAAAACACCCCTTTCGGAAATCATCCCAGACTGAGGATGTGAGTCCACACAACCTCTGCTGAGTTCACCAGACATACAGACACCACACTCAGAATGGTCAGTGGCTGCTCAGTGACTTAGGATCAAGGCCAATAATGTTTTAATAATTTATTCTACTCGGAATTGATATTTTCACTGGTGTTTAAACAATGGTGCTAAAAAAAACTAGTAAGAATAGGGGAGGGAACCAGCTATGCCAGGGGAAAGAATCATCCCAGATCTCTCTGAGCTCATAGAATGAGAATGAAGGGTATTTACAGTAAATGAGAAAGTGAAACACTCAGTTCTAAGCATGCACACATCCTCTTCCTCTTCTATGGTTCTTAGTATCATTTGAGACTCTCAGTCCAACCTAGAACATGCCCAAACTCAAGACATTTGAATAAAGAGAATTCAAAATCATACCCCTGAAAAAAGAGGAACCAAGCTCCATCCAGGGAAGGCATGATCTCTGGTTAGATATTTAGTTATCTTGCAAACATTTAGTAATCTTGGGGGCATTTAGTTATCTTGAGGAAATTTTGACTGTTCCTAACCCCTGTAACTTCTTTTTCCCCAACCACAGCCTCAGAGAACCAGGATCACACAGTGGAGAATCTCATCAGGATGGGGATGGCTTTCATGATCCTCATAGTCATTGGGATTCTGGTCTTTGAGAGTTGGGGCAACCAGAGACAGATCCACCATGCAGCTGAGAGGTAATCAGAAGAGAAAGAAGTAAATGTTTCAAGGTTCCAGAGTCTGAGAAATAATTCTGATGATTCAAGCTTTCTGTAAGAAAATCCATTTCTTATGTGAGAGAATTGGCCAGGAAGCAAATGTGATTTGGATGAAGAGGAAGGTGTGAGCATTGTGGTGAGATCTTTCCTCAGCCAATTCATGTCCCTCCACCTGCTGTGGGCATTTGCTACTGAACCAACACTTCTGAATCTATAAAGTGAGGGATTATGCTGTCCCATCAGTCTGGCTTGCGTCCTCATTTCTATACATATTTTCTTTCCTCCCTCTCATGTGTCATTTTCCATTTTTATACATTGCCACATTCTCCATGGCAGGAGGCTCTGTCTTTTTGACAAAAACAAGGAAGGTGCCTCAATACCAAAATGATGAATAAAATCAGAGCCAAGAATTCAAATTACTCTGCCTATGATGCCCCAAAACTGTCTCTGTGACCCCCCATCCTTTCAGTCTTCAAAACCTATTCTTCATGGAGTTTCTTTTTAAATATAAAACAAATAATACCACACTGGTAGAATAAGGATTATCAAGGTAGTGTAGACACAACAGAAAAAAGATGTTTTCCTAACACAATTTCCTGATTTGTGGCATTTGCTGACCACTCTATATAACCCCATCAAAGACACCTTCACAACAGCAGTGTAACATCACAGATGTGATGTTGAGAGTTGGATGAAATTTATGTGTTTGTTATTCCATTCCCCACTGCCTATTTTCATATATGCAAAAGAAATTAGCATGCTGATCAACCATCTCAGAAACACCTTGCTAGGATGAATTATCATACAATGATTCATAAGTTCTACATAGAAAATCGTCTGTTATCTTCAAACAATGATAGAGGTGTTTGTTTCTCTCTCTTCTTTTTACCTGTATTGAAATGTCCTTTTACTTTTCTGCCATTTCTGTCTTAGCTAAGTCTCCAGTACAATGCTGGAAATGTTTGAATAGAGGAGACTCTCTTACCTTCTTCAGGATTTAATGAAAAATATCTGTTTTCTCGCCATTCAGTATGATGATAACTTTGGTGTTTTGGCACAGGAAATAATTCTGACTCTGGAAGTTCTTTGTTCCTAATTTTTTCTAATTGTCCATGGTGAATGGCTGTGGGATATTGACAAATGCTAACTCTTCCTCAAAAGCTGGCCCCATTATGTGTGTTTTTAATTGTAACCTTGTTACTATCATCAATATCATATGGTTTTGAAAATTGAATGGGATTCCATGACTGGGTAAATTCTACTTTTTTGTTAGGTGTTTTTTTTTTTCATTTTATACTACATTCTCATAGCTATAAACAGGATATGTTCTGAAGAATACACATTTAGTAAATGTTTATCACAGTGTCAGCATCGTAGACTACTTAGCAAAATCTCATAAACATGATCTCACAGAATATGTACCGTTTATGACTGTCTTTACATGGTGAGAAATAATAATTTTTGCATATTTTGCAGCTGTGTTCATGGGAG